GTTGTTCTGTGTCTCTTTGTGGTTGTGTCTCTGTGGGGTAATTTTGTGTCTGTTTGTGGTTGTTTTGTGTCTCTTTGAAGTAAGTTTGTGTCCTTTTTTTCTTGTTTTGTTTCTCTTTGTAATCATTTGTGTCTCTTGAAAGCATTTTCTGTCTTTATTGGTTATTTTGTGTCTCCTTGTGGTTGTACTTTGTCCCCTTGTAGTCTTTTTGTGTCTCTTTATTCTCGTTCTGTGTCCATCCATCCATCCATTTTCATCATCTTATATAGGGGCTCGAGGGGGCAGTAGGCCGAGCAAAGCGCCCCAGACATCCCTCTCCCTAGCAACGCTTTGCAGCTCCACCTGGATGAGATATGCAATCCCTCCAGCATGTCCTGGGTTTACCCTGGGGCCTCACACCAGGGGGACATGCCCGAAACACCTACAACAGGAGGCGCCCAGGAGGATCCTGATCAGATGCCTGACCCACCTTAACTGACTCTTTTCGACGAGAAGGAGCAGCTGCTCTACTCCAAGCTCCCTGCGGATGTCTCTTTGGGGTAATTTGGAGTCTTTTTGGTCATTTTGTTTTTCTATGTAGCCTAATCATTTGTGTCTCCTTGTGGTTGTTTTCTGTCTCTTTGTAGTTGCTTGTGTCTCCTTGTGGTTGTTTTCTGTCTCTTTGTAGTTGCTTGTGTCTCCTTGTGATTCTTTTCTGTCTCTTTGTAGTTGTTTGTGTCTCTTTAAAGTAATTTTGAGTCTTTTTTTGGCATTTTGTGTCTGTTTGTGGTTGATTTGTGTCTCTTTGTTGTCATTCTGTATCTCCTTGTGTATGTTTTGTGTCTTTTTGAGGTTGATTTATGTCTCTGTGTTTGTTTTGTGTCTCCTTGTATTCGGTTTGTGTCCCTCCGTAGTTGTTAAGGCCCTTTTTGTAGTTACTTTGTGTTTCTTTGCATCTCTTTCTGGTCTTTCTGTGGCCGTTATTAATCTCTTTATGCTCTGTGTGTGTTAATTTGAGTGACCTTTGCAGGTGAAGGCCAGAGAGCCCCCCTGACACTCTGGGCCTCTGGGCCCGTTTAGTAATCCATCCATGCTTTTAACCAGCAGAATGCGCACCACGTGCATCGCACTTATATGGAGAAGGGTGGGTTTGTTTGATTAGATAAGTCAGTTGATTATTTGGGAACAAAAATGTGCATTGTTCATATAGTAATGAGGTCTCATAATGATATTTAGGTCTGTTTTCTGTCTATGTTGGAAGCTGAGAATTAGAGAAGTTCCTAAAAGAGCTATTTTCCCCCTACAAAGTGGTTTACATGAAAGCAAAGACGGCATGTACATAAAACTGAGTTAATGGTGAAGTATATTATACATCATTAGTTCTATTTTATAGATCTGATATGGCATCTGGGACCATTTTCCTCACTCTCACATGCCCATTATTACGCCATGCATTTTAGATTTTTATTATCCTTCTCCATGTGTTAATTGTTCATTTTCTGTCGTATTTTCTGTAAATGTTTCAGAGCCTCATCTGTCCTGCCAGGATGCCTTTTGTTTTTGGCCTAAAATATGCTCAAAATTAATGAGCCCAGAAACTCAGCCTTAAAAAATCCATGAGTCATAACAATCGCACGCCATCAATTTATGTCACAAAGTTTTATGTAAGGGGAGGAAATAAGCAATCGGGCCTGGTACTAAAACATGACCGCAACATTTGTACATTCAGTATGAAAAGGCAGGTTGGCAGAAATCAAAAGGGCTCCATACCAGTGCCCTTGTTCAAGTAATTGATATATTCCCTGCAGGGTGTAGGGTGACAGTGTGAAGCCCAAGACAGACTCACCCACACATAATTCAATTTTTGCATAAATGACATCATCAGTGTCTTATGTTTTTTAGCCATGGGGCTCTAATTGTCACACATTTCACTCCTCAACCACACTAATTCAGTCGCATTTAATATGGCTACCAGGCGCCAATGTGAAAAAAAGGCTGATTCTCACACGAGTCCATGAGTGAAATTTAAAAATTAAGATGCTTGTAAGATGCCAAGAGATTAATTACTTTGTCTGTGAGGGTAAAAAGGTGCAGGTGAATGAGTTCATGCCTCACTTGGATCAGATCTGAGAAGCAGGGAGGATAGTTATGAGAGGAAGCTGGGTTGCAGCCATGGCGATTTGGCCGGGCGCAGACATCTGGCCTGACTCGACTTCCCACAGCCTCCTCCAAACATTTCGGGTCCTCTGGTAAATCAGGAGCACTACAGCTGCACTGTGCATGACAGCAAGAAATCTGTTGTTTTGTTGAATGCTCGAGTCAACCAAATTCTTGGATGGTGGGCCTCCTCGTCTAAAAGCTGTAGTCACGCAGTGCTCTGTCAGGCCGCTGGGCTGCCAAACTGTGGTCCACAGGGGGATAACACGGGGTCCTCAGCAGAAATGGGGATGATTAGATTATGGTGTTGTTGCACTCAGTGTACTTTTAAGCATTAAAAAAACAAAAATGTAAACAGATAGGTTTCTAACTGCATAAATCTTTTCAGGTGGAGTTCCTCTGGACATGGGAGTGTTTAAAGGGGAAGTCCGCTCATTTGAGACATCAAAATTAGATCATTTTGGAGGGTGTAGTTTGTGAATGCTTTGTCCATCCAATTAATATCAGAGGGTAAATATTAGAAACACATTGCAGTCTCATGAAATACAGTGCAACAGCAAATGTTGATTCAACACCTCTGCAAATCAGAAACTGAACATTATAACTGTCATGAAGCAGTGTTGGACTAGAACAATAGCTTTCATGCTTTTAAGAGATTTTAGCGTTTTGTTCGATGCCATAAAATACATCAGTTAATACTCCACTGCTGGATTTTGAAGTCTAGGTGTGTTGAAAAAGCCGAGCATTGCTTAACAACCTTGAATAAAATACATTAGAAAATATATTAGACAGACTTGTTTGTGCTTTATTTCATTTAGAAGCATGGTTATGTGCTAAAATAAACTACAGGCACTTTTAGAGCCAGTAACGCCTTGCAAGTGACTTTAAAGTTCATTTGCAAATTTGCACATATGGTTGTTCAGGGGCATCGTAGGCAGGGGCGAAATGAGAGTAGAATAGAAAAGCCTGGAATAGAAAGTTTGGCTTTGTTTGCAGTATTTTTCTAATTAATTTGTAATAACTAAATTAAAATTGGCTAAAAACACAAGTTGAGAGAACTTAACATAAAAAGTAGTGGAAGCTCTCTGAGGCTCCTTTCACCCCTTAACTAAAATATTCCAAAGGAGTGTGAGAGAGATATGGTTCAAGAGAGGATGGGTGGGGGCCCACAGAGACCACTTGAGCACAGTGTCAAAAATTTGGTGCTACACCCCTACTGTATTCTGTATTATCTAAGATGTTTTTTTTGTACTGATTCCTTGTGAGCTCTTGTTCCTGTTTGGGAGCATGATTATGGGCTAAAATAAGGTATAGGCACTGTTTGAGCCAGTGAGTGCATTTACATGGACAGTTTAATTCCCTTTTCATTCCGAATGAAAGTTCATAAAAGTGATCTTGTAAACGCCTAATTCGGAATGAAAATGGCCAATGCGATTGAAAATTCAATCCGATGTAAGGGGCTGGAATATTAGGTTTCTAATTCCGAATGAAAGAATTTCTCGCACTTGTATACACTCATTCCTCTTTAAGTTCATTCCAGTCTTTCTGCGCATTCTTGTTTCCTTGCCCTTCTGGCGCAATGACGTATACAGCGTGCGCACGACTTGTTGCACGAACCAGTTTCCATTCACCAAAGCACAGTCTTCTATCTCCCTTCTTCGATCTTCTACCTCCCTTCTCCTCCTCAACAGAGGAAGCATTAGCAGAACAAGGTTACTGCTGCTTCAAGAATATAAGTAAAACAAGTCTGAAAAAGGCACTGAGAATGACAACGTCAAGCATCTTGTTATCCGGAATGAGGACTACAGTGTTTTCCGGCAAACATAAACACGTAACATCCACCCCGCCCCCTATCCAATCAGAAACCTTCCCTGCCCCAAACCTTGCGCGGACCCGAATACAGGCGATTAAAAGGCGATTAAACTGATCTCCTGTGCAAACCCTCATTCGGAATGAATATTTCCCATGTAAACTACCTGGAAAAACTAATTCCGAATGATTTCATTTTCAAATTGGAATACTGTATACCAGGGGCGTTGTAGTCAGGGGGAAATGAGTCTGATTACCCAGGGCCAAAGTACTCTGTCATGTCTTCCCCCGAAAGAACGGAAATCAGGGATCCAAAAAAGAAAGGAAAGAGAAAGAGAGCAAACTGACTTTGGAAAATCCAAAAAAATTAAAAAAGGTGCATGAGAAAGACATGGTTCAAGAGAGGGAGTGCAGGGGCCCACGGATACCGCTTAAGCACAGGGCCCAGAATGTGGTGCTACACCCCTGCTGTATTCTTTATGGCAGTGAATCCCAACTGGTCCAGCCACAGGATCCAGATTTCTCCTTAGTGATTAGTTCAAGATCCATACAGTTAAATACATTAAGCATCATGTTGTCGAACCAGTTTGTTGTTTCTGTCCAGTTGCTATCCATTATTTACAGCAGTAAATGGTGCTTCAAATTAAAAGCTCTGTGCTAGATATTTACTATAATTTAAAATAAAGTGTGTTTTCTACAAACTTGACACATTAGCTCTTGTTCTTGTTGGTAATAAATACAGTAATATAAAGGGGAAGCACCTGGGGAACCTTGCCAAGGGTGCTTCATGTGCTACTGTGCCTCAGGATATTTTTTATCTACCATAAAGTTTAGTGTAAACTCCCCATGGAGGCCTGTGGTTGATAGCATCATCATGTTCTAAAAGGTATAATGTGATTCCCATAGTCCTTTGTCGCGAGGGCAGAACGGTAGTCAGCGTCTTGGATCTCAGGTTTCAGGCAGAGGGGCCTCCTCTTCTTGAATGGGGCCGAGTTACGTGGAGGTGGTGCGGAGGGAGGAGGAGGAGGAGGAGGAGAGTAGGAGCCTGCGGGAATCAGAGATCTTTCTTTTGTCCTCTTGTTCGGGACCCCGACACATGGGGTCAACACGGGCTGTGAATGGGCTCCGACTGAAAAGACTGGCTCGGACGCGGACGTACGCAGACGCCGATGAGAGCGCGCGCTAATTAGGAAAACCTGGTCAAGCAATTAAGCGCGAGGAGAGAAGCCGCCGCGCGGATTGGAGCGCAGAAGGTGGGTGTTTGGCAGCGAGAGAAGTTTGTCAAGAAAGTTTAGCTTCTTTCTACAAGTTAATTAAACCTCGGCTGAGTCGTTTTGTGCTCCAGCGGCGGTGTTTTACAAGCAGGGGTTAGGTTAAATTTGCAAAGTGGGTTCCACGTAACGAGTTTTGGATCTGCGCGTGCCGGAGAGTGGTGAGTCGCTGCAAAGTCCTATTTTCGTCATTTTTAAGCTTCAAAGAAGAAACATTAACGTGTAACACTTTGTAAAAGTCACTCTTAGTACGACTCAACACGTTATAGAGTCACAAAGTTTGATAAAAGTGCCCTCAATGCTACTTTAAAGACCATAGGAGATTTAACAACTGCCACATCGGAATGGCTAAATAAACTCACACCACAGACTTTAAAGCGTCGCAGTGATTTTCCCTTTTTTTAAATGAGTAATGCTCCTACTAATGGTGGTTTTAGCTTCCAAATTAATCGTGTCTGCGTCTCTTTGAAATGATGGCTTCATCTTCTAATTCGCCGGATTTTTGTTTCCCCACTGAAGCTTGGCAGCACTTTGTTTTCCTGCAGGACTACCACATTTTCCAGAACAATTCAGTCTGACTCAGCAAAGCGTGTTCAGAGCCGTCAACAGTTCTGCTGTGGATCCTTTAAACCTCCTTTCAACTTCTTTTTTCACTGCTTATTTGAAACAGAAAGGGGAATCAGTACTGTGGGTAAACTCTTGCTCCCCTCTGGATGTCTCTTTGCAGAGTCAAACTTGCTTTTTGCACTCAAGAGACAAGCAAGTGATTGACATTTGTAGGTGCTGTATTCTTCTCTGGTTGCTCAGACTGCATGGGGATTTCATGTGCCCTCTGTCTGCTCCCTGAACCCTAAAATCCAGCTCTGCTTTTGGTTAGGCAGGAATGTTCGCTCGCCTTCGCTTTGTCCAGATCCTTTGCCCAAAAAACTCTCCAACCCCCTCCATCTCCTCCTGGAGCCGAGTGACTCCTGAAGCAGAAAAGCCATTAAATCAGTTGAGCTGGGTTTAGCCCACATGAGCAAATAAGCTACTGTTTAAAAGCTGTCTTTGGTTAGCTGTTGGGAGGGTGGCACTGCAAAAAAAATGTTTGCATTTGTTTGAGCCAGGAAGCCAGTTTGTCAGAGTCAAATAGATTGTTGTTTTGTTTTCCTTTGTGTCTTTATTTAAAGAGGAAGATTGGGGGTATTTAACAGTCTGTTAACAAGGGGAGCTGTAAAAGTTTCATCTAAGTACATTTGGTCTGTCTGCAGTGGGAGGAGAGACTCTTTAAACTTTTGCGTCATCCCTGCATCTCTGGAAACCTTTCATGGGCCCTGAGCAGGAGCCCAACTCATCTTGGAGCAGTAACACCTGCTGCACAGACTTTATATCACTGTGAATAACAGCTAAGACTCAAAAGTACACCTTGACCAATTGGTGGCGCACAGCCATTGTCTGAAATTACAGTTTTTTTTGGCTTTCCTGCTAAGAGTCAGGAGCTTGGAATCATGTACCAGTCAGGACTAGCAGAAATACACCACCCATGTTTGTGATGTTTCATGTAATTTTGTATTAAAGGGACAGTTCACGCCCAAGATCATATATCTGTATTTTTAAAAGTTTTTCGAATGAGTTGCAGGGTGTTGGAGATGTCTGCCTTCTCTCAAGTATAATGGAACTAGATGGCACTCGGCTTGTGGTGCTCAAAGCATGGAAAAAAAATGTGAAAAACTCAACGGCAATGTCTCTTTCCAGAAATCACGACGAAAAAAAAGTACAAGGAATTAGTCAACTCGTAGATTAAATGTTGCTGCCTTTAATCAGCACCAGACATACTAGTCAGGTAAGCCTATTATGAAAATTGTTAGTTTATGTGAGTCAGCTGCTCTTAAGTTCTCCCATTTAAATATCAGGGAATTTAGTCATTAGGAGCATCCCTACACACACACTAAAGGATATGTGGATTATCTTGAGTAACAGGGTCATGATTTCTGGAAAGAGACATTCCTGTTGAGTTTCACAAATGTACATTTTGGCACTTTTTGCACCACAAGCCGAGTGCCATCTAGTTCCATTATATTAAAAAGAAGGCAGACATCTTTTCAGCCAGTATCTACAACGCTCATCAACTCAAAACCAAAACCAAAAATATGCGTTTGTTTTTGAGTGAATTGTCTCTTTAAGGGAAACATGCAAATCTGCCTTTTGTTGAAAGCATGATAGAGCTGCAGCAATTAGTAAGTAAGTCCATCAAAAAATTATTTTGACTGTCAATCATTTCAGTCATTTATCACTCAAATGTTAAACATTTACTGGTTCAAGCTTCTTAAATGTGAGAATCAGCTGCTCTTCTGTGACATTTATGATAGTCAATGATAGGGTTGGGGGAAGATACTGATACAGCATAGTCCTGTGATATTTTTGTGTGGCAATATCGTATCGTCACAGGGACACCAAGTATTGTTTTTTATTAGATAAATTATCAATTGCCTTTATAGTCCACTAGACACATTTTGCTGCAATAAACATTTAAGTGAGATGAACAGACTGAAAGCCTTATCTTGTTAGGTAAAACAGGTGTTGATAAAGTTTTCCTATAGGGGCAAAATTTGAAGTTCAAAAAAAGGTAATAAATCAAAATGTATCGCAGTATGTTTTATCACAATACTCAGCATATTGCAACACGTTTAAAATCTAGGGCTGCAACTAACGATTATTTTCATTGTCGACTAATCTGTTGATTATTTCTTCGATTAGTCGACTAATCATTTTATCGAAAAATGTGTTAAAATGTTGAAAAAAATGTCGGTCTGTCTCTCCCAAACCCCAAAATGATGTCATCTAATGTCTTGTTTCGTACTCACGCCAAAGGGTTTTAGTTCACCGTCATTGGAAAGTGTGTAAAACTGCCAATATTTGAACGTAAGAAGCTGCAGTAAGAGTATTTTGAGGCACTTTTATAGTACTTTTCTATGAAAAATTACTCAAACCGATTAGACTAAAATAGTCACCGATTATATCGATTAGTCGACTAATAGTTGCAGCCCTATTAAAATCACAATAATATTGTATCATCTTTGGGTTTTGACTGTTGTTAAAACAAAAAAATGTCAATATGAGGATGTCACTTTGTCAAAAATGCCATCACAACTTTCCAAAACCCAATTTTTCTAGCATTAAATGAGTAATTGTGAGAGTAATTGGCAGATTAACCGATAAAAAGTAATCATTAGTTTCAGCCCTTGAGTGATTGAAGCCAGACTGCAAGAAAAAAGCATGAAATCTACTAAAACAGAGAAAAAGATGGAAATATGTTAACAGTAAAGAAATAATGACACTGTTGACATGTGACTGACTTAATTGGAGCTATGTGAAGAGTATTGACTGCATCGGCTCCATGAACCAATTGCATTTCTAACCTCCATGTTGGCAAGGGCAAGTCAAATCCAGTGTAGTGTAGATTTTCCAGCAGCATTCAGGTAACTGAAGTGTAGAGATAAGTTTGTTTAAAGGCTGATAAAAAGGCACAAACTGACCCCTTAGAGGTCAAATTTAAACGTCAGCCTTTGGCGTCTTGTTTTGGCAGTTCAGCATGTTTTATAATTACACTGATATTAGTCACATCCATTAGTGGTTAGACTGCTGCGGATTCATGACGGTAATGCCTTCCATTTCTCGAAAGATGCTTTTGGTCAGTATTTGGATAAACGCTCCTCAAAGCACAGTGTGAACCAGAGATGGCTGAATACCAGATCACAAAGAGTTTCAATGGAGTAAACCAAACCTACTGGTAACTGGGGCACGTGATGTTTAAAGGGACAGTTCGCCTCATTGGATGTCAGAGGGGCTTTTAAATTTGACTTTTTAGCTGTGATAAACTATGCTAGTTTATGTTTCAAAGTGCCTTTTGCATATAGTGTGTTGTATACCTCTGCTGAAGCACCTAGGCCATGTAGGTGGGGTTTGTAATTGTATGGTGGGGTAAATCAGGTGTCACCTCGCAGCTGTGCTTGTTCTAGTCTCAGACTTAATGTCAGGGTCACAAAGTTGTCTGTTTCCTCAAGCAATTAACCATTCCCATGTCCAAGAATCAACACTTGGACGTAGGCATGATGATATGATGTCCCTGTAGTGGGTGAATCTCACCTTTTTTTTTTTAAACATTTTTTGAGTGGGATTTAATGGAGCTGCTTTTTTTTTTTTTAAACTTAGATCTGAGAAGTGTTTCAAGGCCTGTAATTTTCCCTTTCTGGATCTAGCCAAGACAGGCCAACTTCTAACGTGTTCATAGCTTTGGTGCAGCTGATGAGCCTTTTTAAACACAAGGGTTTTGTTTTTGGTAAAATATTTGTTCTGGTCAGGCTGGGGCAAGTCAGCCTCACCATTTCTAAGGTGCCAACTCGGCAAAGGGATTCTGCAAAGGAATGGATGAGTAACCTGGCGAGGGAGGGCCTGCATCATGCACTAATCTGAGGAGACATGCCTAGAGATGCTTGTAATGGCTAAAGCCTTGTCCTGTTCCAATGAGTCATGAAATGCTGGTTATTTTCTTTGCTACAACCCGTTTTCTTAAAGTAGAAATGTTGAAGGTAGGCTCAATGAGTCCTGAAGACTTTTGGTCCTTTTCTCGTTTGGCTCTATTTATGTTCACGGCTGCAACTAATGGTTATTTTCAGTTGAGTGGACATTTTTGGAAGCATCCATTTTCAGTCGTTGCACCTAAAATAATGTGACAGTTAGCTACTTTTTTAAAGATGCAAGTTGCAGTAACATTAGCCACAATAACTAGATAAAGAGACTACAAAATGGCTAAGCCGTTACCTATAGTTTTCAGGTGATTTGCCAAGCTCATTGTAGATTTGTGCTATTCCAGTTTCCTTTGGCATATCTGGCACTTTTTGGAGGTCATCTTTGTAAATGTTGACACTATTCCAGATGGTTGACTTTTGACATCCTGCGAGCGCACATGTAAGCCTGTCACGTGTGGTCAAACTGTCAGATTCACTGTCACGAAGTTTAAATGTCAAATATGGATTTGGATATCAATTTTTTTTTATAGCAACGTTGGGAGCTTTGAAGTATTTTGGCCTTCCCTGATATTCAGTTTACCGTCATACAGGAGTAAAGAAACTAGAAAATATTCACATTAGATTTTCTGTCTTTTTTAAAAAAAATTACTCAAACCAGTTAATCGACTATTGCAGCTCTAGTTGAGTTGGTGTTATTCAGATTGGTGTAGAAATAAAGTAAATTTGGTATTTATATCAGTTAAAATATTTTCCTGTGCCCTGTTTGGTCAAATATCTAGTTGGATCTGTTCCTTAACCAAACTGATATTGGATGCCTTTTCAAAGTACAAGCTTTATTTAATGTCTAATATTTGATTTCAGTGCTTAATAGGCAACCTTTTAAGCTTGTTTTGGAAAAAGAAACCTAATAATCTCATCTTGAAAAGTTGCCAAACAACCATAAAAAGTCTGAAGTTGTCTGAATTTTGTTCCCAGTTAGTTGGAGTGGGGGGAAGAAAAAGATACAGCATAGTGTCACGATAGTTTGCATTGCAATACTGTAGCGATACAGAGTTTGGGGACGTGATTCACAGTTGAAAAGAGGTAATACATCCCACCAGCATATCCAAAATGTTTAAAGTTGCCATACTATCACGCCGTGGCTTGCATATCTTGATAATATCTTATTGTGGGGCGTCCGATGAGTACCAGCCCTACCAATTCCCTTCCAAAAATAGGTAAATCCAAATTTCCTTTAAATGCCGATTCATCCGCTTTAAAGGTAAAATCACTTCTAATGGTTACTGAACTGAAAAAGGACCAGCTCTGTTCTCCTCTCTATGTCTCGGCCATGTTAAGGTATCAAACTGGTTTTTAAGAATTTAAAGGGATAACTCCTGGCATTGTGGCAAGGAATAAATTCCTAACCCCATGCACTGCTTTAGTATCATAATTCCTGTAGTCCAAAGCTGCAGCAGGTCTCCTCATGGCTAGCTGCAACTTGCCAGCCGACACTTTGATGTTTGATTAAGCAGCTCGAGCTTAGCACGTCAGGGAGCTGTAAGAATGTGGGTTTACCAAACTGCCACCCCAACAAATGCGCTCTGACCAGCAAGTCTGATTCACACTGTGTTGTGCAGTTTCCGCATGGATACCTGCATATCTAAGAGATCTGTGTCTGATTAAAACAAAGCATGTGGCTGTGTTTATTTCTCAGCCCTGCGGTAACCCTAAATACTTGCATGCAGTATTTGCACTTTAATTCTTTGATCATTGTGTGAATGGTAGTTGTTTGATGCATGTGTACACTTCCTATGAATCCAGTGAGAAGTATTTGAGTAATGCCTGGAGGTTTCAAACGCTAAAGCGCTTTTTTTCATTGTTGAATAATCAGCCAATTACTTTATCCATTAATCATTTGGTCTTGTTTTTCCCAACTAACAGTCCAAAAGAGAAGTGTGTTCAGTTTAACGTCACATGAAGACAGCAAATATTTACATGTGAGAGGCTGGAAATGGTGAATTTTGCGCATTTTGCTTTAAAAGTGATTGAAATGATCAATCAAAAATGTGTCAATCAAAGAAGTTGCCAAAAGTTTTCTGTTGATAGACGAATATATGAATCAACGAACTGCTTAGGCTCGAATCTCAAACTTCTGTTATTTGAACTGACAAAATATTGCGTACAAGTTGCTTCTGTTAGTTCATTGTAGTTTGGAAAGTGGAAGTAAAAGAAAAATGTTGTTTGTGCAAAAGACCATATGTTCACAGTGCAATGACAGGTCACTGTTTTTTCATCCAGAACTCATTTAGCTCCCCGGTCACCTTGGCAACATGAGTTGGAGCTTCCTAACTCGTCTGCTGGATGAGATCTCCAACCACTCCACCTTCGTGGGGAAGATCTGGCTGACGGTGCTCATCATCTTCCGCATCGTGCTGACAGCTGTGGGCGGTGAAACTATCTACTATGATGAACAGAGTAAATTTGTGTGCAACACGCAACAGCCCGGGTGTGAGAACGTGTGCTACGACGCGTTTGCTCCGCTCTCACACGTCCGATTCTGGATCTTTCAGGTGAGCTGCACATCATGTTCAAAATTAATGTTTAAATGCTATCTAGTCAAGAATATTATGTGTCTGAATGGTTCATTTTAGCAGAATATGTCTGATGTGCTTTGTACAGGTCATTTTAATCACCACCCCCACCATCATGTACCTGGGCTTTGCTATGCACAAGATTGCACGCATGGATGACAGTGAGTATCGTCCCGTCCGGAACCAGAAGAAGAGGATGCCCATTGTCAGCCGTGGGGCAGTTCGAGACTACGAGGAGGCAGAGGACAACGGAGAGGAAGACCCCATGATTGCTGAAGAGATTGAACAAGAGAAACCAGACAAGGCAGATAAAAGTAAGGGGGTGCAGTTTCAGTATTCTGTCTGATGGGTTTAGCCCCTCTTGATGCTGCATTCTAACCAGTGTCTCTATTTTCAAGGCTCAGAGAAAAAGCATGACGGTCGTCGGAGGATCCTGCGTGATGGCCTGATGAAAGTCTATGTGTGCCAGCTGCTGTGGCGCTCTGGCTTTGAGGTTGCCTTCCTGTTTGGCCAGTATGTCCTCTACGGCTTCGAGGTGATACCCTCCTACGTCTGCACTCGCTCGCCGTGCCCGCACACTGTGGACTGCTTTGTGTCCCGCCCCACGGAGAAAACCATTTTCCTGCTGGTGATGTACGTTGTGTCCTTCCTCTGCCTGCTTCTCACCATCTTCGAAATCATCCATCTGGGGATCGGTGGCATCCGCGACACCTTCCGCAGGCGGGCCACGCTCGCCTCACGAGCTCCCCTTCCATCCTCATCACGTGCCATGCCTACAGCTCCACCAGGATACCATGCCACCATGAAGAAGGAGAAACTGAAAGGAGAGCTGAGGGACTCGCCGATGGGCGACTCCGGGCGGGAGAGTTTCGGGGACGAGGGGCCGTCGTCCAAGGAGCTGGAGAGGTTGAGGAGGCACCTGAAGCTGGCCCAGCAGCACCTGGACCTGGCCTACCAGGCAGATGAGGGAAGCCCTTCACGAAGCAGCAGCCCCGAGGTCAACACGGCTGCACAGACGGCCGCTGAGCAGAACCGCCTCAACTTTGCGCAGGAAAAGCAGGGGGAGGCAAGCGAGAAGGGTAATGAAGACGCTGCTGAAATGTCCTTAACTTAGTCATTTAATCCAAAGTAAAGCCAACCATTGAATAGTTGTTCTCCTAAAGGTTCAGGGTTTAAGATTTAGGGGGATTTAGTGGTGTCTAGCGGTGACGATTGCAGATTGCAACCAGCTGAAACTTGGAATTCCATCAGTGTTCACTGTTCAGGAGGTTTTTACCGTGAGCCGAATTATCCACAGAGGTCTCTTCCTCTCCATAACAAACTGACCAGGTGATTAAAACTGATAAAAACAATGAGTAAAGCAGTTGCACGTTGCAAATCAGTGTTTCTCCTATGCCATTTGGCACATCGCAGACATGCCGCTAGCCCAGCACCTGCTAATAATGTGGACTCACCTTTTTTCTCTGAAAACTGAAGACCCAGACATTCAGGAGGTTTTTTAGTGGGGGCTGAATTATTCGCAGAGGTCGCCTCCTCTCCAAGACAAATGGACCAGGGGTCTCATTTATAAAAGAATCGTAGGATCCATACTAAATATGTACGTACGAACAAAAGCCAAACATGGTGTGCGCCATAAAATATTTGACAATTTCTACAATCAGGCCTCTACCTCACCATCTGCATCGCCAGTTTCCCGTCTCCAAAATGTTTGTAAGCATGGGTCAAGTTTCTCCTATCTATTCTTTTTACAGATTACAACTTTTGCGTGGGAAGTGGCGTACACCTCCTTAAGGCCTTGTTTTGTGCATATGCAATGTTTGTAAATGAGACCCAAGGTGATTTTCAGCTGGTGAAGACACTGAATAAAGCAGTTTCATTTTTAAAAAAATGATGGCAGCTGATGCAAAAATGCAAATGGACCTTTAACTGGTTAAAATTTTAAGGTTTATATATGGAAGTATTATACAGAAACAAATTAGACAATTAACAGACTCAAAACTCAATCATTTTATCCGAAGAAAAGCAAACATTCACAAGTTCAGGCCTCTAAAAAATAAAGATTTATGGCTGAAAATGAGAAATCATTGCAGCTCCAAGCCGTGTGGATGCAAAACATCCAGAAGAAAAGTGTTGCCAACCTTTTAAAAATACTTCCTCTATTTTCAGAAGCAAGAATCCTCTAGCTGCAGATAATTTTCTGTCGACCAAGTAATTCTTTTAGTTGTGTTGTGAACATGTCACAATAGCTACCTCAGGATTTCTTTGTGTCAGATAAGGCCTGACCTTAAGTCAGCAAAACATGATGTTACCCATGAAAGAACCTTTTTAAAATCCAGGTTTAAAGTGAACACCCATGCTGAATATTCCTCTGTCTCTTCTTCTCCTAGGAATACATGCCTGAGCGTGCTTCCTGCCTCAAACGTCTGTTCTTCCATTCCTACTGGCCTTTAAACACATGGGGGAAGCACATATGGGAGAGCAGTCAGACCACTGAGGGAGACCAAAGCGTGTATGTGTGTGTGCTTGTGTGTGGATGAAAGAGACATGCCTTTCAGTATTAGGGGTCAGTCCGAAAGAAAAGAAAAATGCTGACTGAACTGTGTTCGACAAATGGTTCATCTCCACGAGTCTAAACTTGAAAGCCTGCCACATCTCGAGTTTCTGCTTGCTGACCTACGTCCAAACCTTGACTGTGCCTTCAGCTAAAACCATGTCAACACCCTGTTCTTTCGCCCACTCTGTGTTTTTTGTGGCTGTGCAATAATCCTCGTCCATTTCAGACCTTGTAAGGATTATCGAAAGCTTTAAACTCCTCTGGCCAAGTGTACTTTTGTCGTCTTCCTCACAAAAGAGAGGCTCTCTGTTTATAAAATGTCGCCGAATGTTAATGTCTCACTTTGTTGAGGCTTGTTGGCTTCGGAGAGAATCTCAAACAACACAGCCTTAGGTTATGTAATTTTTGGAGCGTGTGTCGCAGTGTTTCTTTGCAACGAAGGCGGCTTAACCTGCGCTAGATGAGTCATGTTTAATTTAAACAGATTTGATGTTAGGGATTATCGGTGTTTATTAGCCACAAGTCACAGCATTTCAGAAATATTTGACAGAATTTTGAAGCCTGTATATTTACTCCAATCGGCCAAAATGTTTACCTGGGAAATGCTTGAATTCTTTATTGACAGGAAATGTTCCAAGGAATTTCCAAGAATCATTTTTGTGTACAATCAGTTCATTGAAAATACTCCGTTTATTTTACCACTAGAATATTTACTTTGCAAGTTTGGCATCACATATGCCACTTATTTCACACCACTGCTGAAAAGTAGGCGCTTGATGTTAAGATATCTTTCTTCCCTAAATTATGTACGATAAGTTGATTCATCACACTGTTCGTCATCACTGAAATTTAAAGAATAATTTGACATTTTGTGGGTTTTTTTGCAAACCAGCTGGAAACATCTATCTTCTGGGCTACTGTCAACAACAAAATTCCATCCTTGTCTTTTGAAATTTACATTCTCTTTTGGTGAGACATATTTTCCATCCTTGACATGTACCACTACCCCTCCGTTGTGCCAAACCACGGACGCTTTCATGTGTCCTGGAAAAAACACAACCCAGCTGAAGAAAGGATGACAGTTGGCTGCCGACGCACAGCTCGGTGCCATGTAAACACATAATCTTTAATTCATCACGAGGACTTTGATCAATAGCTTTCAGTGTTCATACAGACTTCATACTCTTTCACTGCCTGTCAGTTGGTTTTATGATCTTTGGCTGAAATGATGAAACTACAGATTGCCAAAGAGCTGTTTGATGCTGTATTTTTGTAAACATCTCACTTCCAGTTTTGCTACTTATTGCAAGGTACGACATTCCATTTTGAATATGGTATTTCTTCAGTGGTTTATACTTTTTTTTTTCTTTTGCAAGTTTTGTAGTTTTTGTAACTGTAGAGATTATTTTGTCTTCAGAGTAAATAAATATATTTGAACAGTTTGTTTTGGTCTTTGGACTCTGTGGTGAAGTTGCTGCATAGAACTTTGTGTGAATGGGACAAAAGAATCAGGAGCTTAAACACTGGATCTGTTTGATATTTACACAACACTGAGTTAAATGTGTCAATCAATGATTTGGTATACATACAGTTTAAAACAAGTCAAGCTGCATGTGAAGGTATTGCAGTGTAAAAGTAGGCTTACACTGCCCTCTAAAGGTTTGAATCACAACACTGAAAAGCAACACAATGCTGGCCTTATGGTATCTTTACTTACAGACTGTAGCTAATTCAAAGTGTCAGAAACAAGAAACTTTGATAAGAGTATGTGTTTAGTAAGGTAGATGGCATTTAACTATGTTACAATGTGAAAAAGGGATGTGTAACAAAGGTATACGTTATCAAATTGGACATTCGAGTACATTGTTTTTAAATTGGGTAGGAGACCGGTCATTCTTTAAAGGATCTATTAATTTGTCAGATCCAAGAAAGAGGCCGTGACTGTCGCACATATGGGATCCAGTTTGACCATTACTTTGTAAATCTATTCATTTGGTATATGAATTGGTGCACTTCCATTGAAAGCTGCAAGAACTATACCATTCCTCCCTTGAAATCTCAAAATGACCCTCATTTTCCCATTTATTTTTATGGTGCTCTGTGGGATGGGATTTCTTTGACATAAAACCCTTACATAGTCTGTATAACCTTCTGATGTCTAATTCTGACATGTAGGGTCCTGTAACTCATTTTATCACTGGCTCATCCAGGTGATTGATGGCATTTAAAAGCAGCTCACCCCAAAATCAAAACTGCATATTTTTCTTCTTTTGTAGCGTTTTGTAAGCAGATTCATTTTCTTTCCACAGAAGTAGACCTGCCAACTGTATCACTGTGCAGAAGGGAGCATGCATCATACTTGTGACAGCAAGAGATGTCAGCATTAATGGCATGTGTAAGCTTAGCTAGCTCAGTGGTGTTAGGTGAGCTAGCAGTAGATTAACGTTTCCTTCTACGGGGTGATACAGTTGGCGGACGTATTTTGGTAGAAAGAAAATAGTTCCTACATCAAACTGCTCACAGCAAGGTCTGTGGATTATCTTGAGTAACCCGGTCATGATTTCTGGAAAGAGACATTGCTGCTGAATTTTTCAAATGTCATTTTTGGCACTTTGAGCACCACAAGCTGAGTGCCATGTTGTTCCATTATATTGGAGAGAAGGCAGACATCTCTACAGCTGATATCTCCAACACTGGGCAACTCACACCAAAACAATCTAGACTAATAAATAGCACTACAGGTAAGAGCAAGAATATACGTTTTTGATTTGGGGGTGAACTCTCCCTGAGGTCGACGATCACGCTGGCGTGATCAAATCACGTGACTAGTTTAGGACGTCACTGCGAGAAAACTAAACCACGTAGAACGCTACCGTCAACTTTTCTGGAAAGTGCGGACTTGAAACTCCATGACAGTTTTTGTTTTATGTTGACAGACCAAGTAAAAACGGAGATAATGATAGTTTAAAGTTGAAATAAAAATAATGTTTACGCATACGCAAAGTGTGAACGGTGTGTTGGAGCAGGCGTTGCATTTATTTGAATATTTTTGTCGTTTTTTGGCATATACAAAACAAATGAAATCAACTTTATTTATATGGCATTTTTCATACGACAGTAACACAAAGTGCCTCACAGGGGTTAAAAACAACAGAGCCAAAACAGAAAACAAAAAAGAAAAGAGAAATCCCAACCCTCCCACCCCACATAGAGATACATAAGTATACACATATGCACACACACACACACAAGCTATCACTAAAGAGACATGGCTGAGCACCGAGACCTGAGGCAAGGAAAAAGCCACCTCTGGGGGCCGTCCACACTGAGAGGAGCGCCGCTGTAGACACCACCCCGACCCGGGCAGACAGGAGGCTCCACACCGAGGTGCAGAGCCCTACAGCCACCCAGGTCAGAGCTGTCCACGGGACAGCACCCCCATCAGTAGACCAGGAACAACTCTCAGTGTGGTAGGCCCCCATGAGGAAACACTGGAGCTAAAAATGGACTACAATGGTAGAATAGGATAAAAGGTATAAAATGGACCAAATAAACAAAAAGCTATTTAGCTCATAAAATTACGTTAATAGCTAGGTAAGAATGATCTAAAACAGAGACATAAAATGCATCAAAACTAAAACCTATAACTAAAATAACAAAAGATAAAGATTAAATGAGATAAGAACGTAAAAAGAGGAAGGGTAAGAACATTTTTTTAAAAACAAAAAACAAAGATAAATCGGTTAAAAGCCTGATTAAAAAGATGAGTCTTGAGCCTCTTTTTAAAAACATCAACAGTCTCTGCAGCCCTGAGGTTCTCCGGCAGGCTGTTCCACAATCGGGGGCCATAATAACTAAATGCCGCCTCCCCGTGTGTTTTAGTCCTAACTTGTGGTATGGTTAAAAGGCCTGTGCTGGGGCGTCGGTGGCTTAGTGGTAGAGCAGGCGCCCCATGTACAAGGCTGTTGCCGCAGCGGCCCGGGTCGAATCCAGCCTGTGGCCTGTTGCTGCATGTCACTCCCTCTCTCTCTCCCCCTTTCACACTTGTCTGTCCTATCAATTAAAGGCAAAAATGCCCCCAAAAAATATCTTAAAAGGCCTGTGCCATGGTCCGCAAGGGTTGATATGGTAAAAGCAGGTCAGATAAATAAGAAGGCCCAAGACCGTTAAGACATTTAAAAACTAATAAAAGAACCTTAAAATCGATCCTGAAGCGCATGGGGAGCCAATGCAGCGATTTTAAAATTGGTGTAATGTGCTCCCGCCCTCTGGTCCTCGTCAGCACTCGTGCAGCTGAATTCTGTAATAATTGTAGATTTGAGATACTCTATTTGGGAAGAGCAGAGAGCAGGGCATTACAATAATCTAACCTACACGAGATAAAAGCATGCATCAGCACCTCCGTGCTGGCCTGAGAGAGAAACGGGTGGACTCTGGCTATATTCTTAAGGTGGTAGAAACCTACCTTTGTTATGTTTTTAATTTGTGGAATAAAACAGAGCTCAGAGTCAAAAATCACACCCAGATTTTTTACAGATTGTGTTGGTTTAAAATCCTGTAGTTTTGGTAAAAGTTTCTCTCTCTGGCCTTCAGGACCAATGACTAAAACCTCTGTTTTGTCCTGGTTGAACTGCAGGAAATTTGCTGCCATCCATGACTTTATGTCTAAAATGCAGTTAAAAAGGGCATCAATTGGCCCTGCGTCATCAGGAGACACAGCGATGTACAGTTGCGTATCATCAGCATAACTATGAAAGCTGATGCCATGCCTCCTGATGACGTCCCCCAGGGGAAGCATGTAGAGATTAAAAAGAGTTGGACCTAAAATTGACCCCTGGGGGATCCCACACTTTATCTCATGGGTTCCTGAGGAACATGTATCCATACTTACAAAGAAGTGTCGATCAGTAAGGTAAGAGACGAACCAGTTAAAAACAGTACCAGAGAGGCCAACCAGGTGCCTCAGTCTATTTCATAAAATGTGATGGTCTACTGTATCGAAGGCGGCGGTTAGATCCAGTAAAACCAAGACTGTGAGTTTATGGTTATCTAAATTGCACCTGATGTTGTTTAGAATCTTTAAAAGGGCTGTCTCGGTACTGTGGTTCATTCTAAAACCAGACTGATACTTCTCTAAAGTGTTATTTGTATTTTAAAAAATCATTTACTTGGGTAAAAACCAGTTTTTCTAAAAATTTTGCTTAAAAATGGTAAGTTGGATACAGGCCAATAATTATTAAAAATGTTGGGGTCTAAATTGCTCTTCTTCAGAAGGGGCTTCACCACCGCCGTTTTCAAGGAAGTTGGGAAAACACTCGTCTGAAGAGAGCAATTCACCATGTACAGTAGCTGTTACTCAAAGAATCCATAAAAAGTTTTAAAAAAAGGTGTGGGAATTGGGACTAAAAAGCAGGTTGTGGGCTTTACTTGGGAGAAAACTCGACCAAGTGTCCTCGCATCAACCAGGGCAAAACTCTCCAGTGTTTCCTCAGGTAAAAGCAATGATCCAGGTGTGTCAACAGTTAAAATCTGGAGAGAAAAGACTGGATCTGATGTCATTGATTTTACCTCTGAAGTGGTCTGCAAAGTCCTCACAAAGGGCATTGGTTGTTGTCTTAGGCGATTTGATTTGAGATGTTGACGTAATATTTTGTAGTGGACTGTTAGTTTTGATTTTCTGATTATTACGAAACGAATCAAAATGTCTGAATCTGCTGACTCTGCTCTACAGGCTGCACATTCTAGGGACGTGGGGGCGGGGCCAACTGAGCAGTGTGGCGGAAGCGAAGCGCGGGAGAGTGAGGCGGATGAGAGAGGCAGGAGATATATTGAGAGAGTTTTTGGAAGATTTGGAGTTGTATTAGTATTCGTATTTAGAGTTTATTAGTGAGGAGTAGAGGATGTTGAGGACGTTGAACGTAAGACAAGCCGTGGACTTGTTCTTCGAAAAGGAGGAGCAGCAGGGCGAAATCTGCATTTCACCGTTGGAGTGGGAGAGGGAATTTGACGATGAAGTTGAGGATCCGTCCTTTGTGATTGACGACAAGAGGTGAGTCAAACTTCTTATGAAAATGTATTGTTTTTGTTTTTCTTATTACTCTCTTTGTAAATGTGTGCTGTGTGATTTTGTGACACTGACACACACACACACACACACACACACACACACAACTCGCGGTAAAATATTAATATTTTCCCGCGGTAAAATAATATTTTCCAGGGCCTCCCCAAGAATTATGTTATTTTATTGTTTTTGTGTATTTTATAAATTGTGCAAATTGAACTGAACTCAACTTTTTACAATGTGTTATTGTCGTGTACATATACAGAGATGATGAGCAGCCTGGGACATCTACAGCCCCAGTAACAGGCAGAGGCAGGGGGCGTCAGCGTGGGAGGGAGAATAGATGCCGATCTAGATCTCCATGTGACCGGTCATCCCAGCCACACCACAGCCATGAGGCCTGGAGAACAGAAAGTGAACCTGATACTGCTCCAGGAGTCAGTAGGTTCATGCCCCACAGACCACTAGGAGCCCAGGTGGACATGCACTCGCCATACACACCAAAAGAGCTGTTTCAGCTGTTCTTCTCCACTGCCACCGTGAGGATACTCTGCAAGAACACCAACAAATATGCAGCAATACAGCAGGAAATGGGGAAGAAATACAGCTGGGCTGACGTCGAGGTTGAGGAGCTGTATAAATTCTTTGGCCTTCTCATGTACATGGCATTAGTCTCACTGCCAAGTCTCCAGGACTACTGGAAACAAAACCACATCCTGTCTGTGCCGTTTCCAGCCATGGTCATGACAAGAGACCGATTCAGGTCCCTGATGTGGAACATCCACCCCAGCGATCCAGAGGAGAATGTGATAAATAACAGAAAGAAGGGAACACCTGACCATGACAAGCTCTTCAGGACAAAACCCCTCATGGATGAGATCCGCACTGCGTGCCAGGCTCATTACCACCCAAGGAAGGAATTGGCTGTTGACGAGCGAATGGTGGCAACCAAGGCAAAAAGTAGCCTGACCCCAGTACATGAAGGACAAGCCAACAAAATGGGGGATCAAGCTCTTTGTGTTGGCTGAGTCAAGCAGTGGCTACACTGTCAACTTCAGTGTGTACAGTGGGAAGTCTAGCTCGGCCAGTGTGCATGGACTGTCACATGATGCTGTGATGGACCTCATTCAGCCGTCATATCTTGGGACTGGATACCATATTTATATGGACAACTTCTTCACCAGTCCCAAGCTGTTCCTCGACTTGGCCAGCATGAAGTATGCTTGTGGTACCTACAGGGACAACAGGAAAAGGTGTCCCTGTGGAAGAGGAAATGCCCTCACCCCAAAGTCTGAGAGAGGTGCTGTGAGGTGGATCAGGGAGGGCCCCCTGCTGTTTGTGAAGTGGATGGACACGCGGGAGGTGTCTGTGTGCTCCACAATCCATCCAGCATTTTCTGGTGAGGTGGTCCAGAGGAGAGCAAAGGATGAAGATGGACGCTGGGCAGTGAAGGAGATTCCCTGCCCCACCCCTGTCATGGCCTACAACAAGTGCATGGGTGGGGTTGATCTTTCCGACCAGCTGATCCAGTATTACTCCACCCACAGCAAAACTGCTCGCTGGTACAAGACGCTCTTTTTGCACTTTGTGGACATTGCAGCAACAAATGCATACATCATGCATTGTGAGATGAGCAAAAAACAACAGGTGCAGCCCATGACTCAAAAGAACTTTCTAACCCAGCTGGTGTCAGAGCTGTGTGGAGTGGACAAGACAGGGACTCCAAACAACAGGAGCAATCAACATGTTCCTGTTGCCATCGCCACTGCCACTGATGCCAGCCAGAAAGCCACTCAAGGCCGCAGGGAATGCCAACGCTGCCACCAGGTGGACAAAAAGAGGAACCTGACGCCATGGCGATGCAAGTCCTGTGATGTGCCCCTCTGTGTCATTGTTGACAGGAACTGTTTTGAGGAGTGGCACGTTAAAAAACAAAAACGCCTTGTTGTAAATAGTTATGTTATTGTTGTATATAGTTTGATTTTGTCTCAATTTGACATTTATATGTTATTTTTGCACTATTTAGAAACCCCTCACAGTCTGTGAATGAAAGGCCTGTTATATAGTTCTCTGTCTAATTGTGTACATAAACTATTTTGAAGAGAGGCACGGCCAAAATGGAGGAAAAAAAAAAAATGCCTGTGGCTTCACCTGTTTTTTGTTGTAAATAGTTTAATTTTATCTCAGTTATACTTTTGTATGTACATATTTACAACTTGTGTTTACAATTTCTACCTTTGAATTTTTTCATTGAGCATGTTTGAATTTTGTATAGTAAAGAAATTAATTTATTTTTCAAATCCGATTTTGTGTTTTTGAGTGTTTTTGGGTCAAGTATGTTAATATAGTATGTCAGAGTGGAAACATAATTTTCTGGTCATATAGCTAAGGTTGTGCTGAAAAAAAAAGATATCAAACATTGGCATGACAAACATTTTTTTTATGTGGTATATGAAGGCAAAAATTAAAAGTATACAAAAACGGCCAAAATAGCCCAAGACCCTTGAGGGTTAAGGGGTCTGTTCAACCAAATTACAACATATCTGGTATCTGCATGTAAACTCCATTTCAAACACAATCAGAGTGAATAATGTGTCATCTATGCATGTAAACATTACTTTTGAATAACAGAATGGCAAAATGTCAGTTTTGGGCAGTTTTCATAGGGACTATGTCTTTGGTAGCAGCAGCTAAGAAAACTTTAATATCCATTACATTACATGAAATTCTGGTAGCTGTGTAAAACAGTAAAGAGCAGGTAAACTGCACGAGAGAAATCTAAAAACCTCAGCACATAAATTCAGAAATGTCTGCTTGGCTAACAAGAAATGTCCCTCTGTAATTTGGGTGACTGTCCCTTTAAATTTTCAGATACAAGTACACTCTTCAGGTATGATATTAGGCAAGGTCTCATACTTAAAGGAGTACCCGCCGTCAGATGTTGTGGTGATTCTCAGCGACCTCATTGTCCCTGGGACCGGAGCGCAGCACTGTGTGATCCCCAGCATGGCGGAGGGTCTGTCCTCGGCCGAGCAGTTCCCATGACAGTAGTAGAAAGTCAGCACCTTTGGATGGACGATCCAGTTGTCCCAGCCCAGCTCCTCAAAGCTAATTTCGATCTCTGCTCGGTGGCAGTCGCTGTGCTGAGGTCTCTCCTGTGAGGGCCGCTGGAGCAGGTCGATCGCTGAAGGAGACCAGGGGATTGGTACGGGTGCATGGCGGGGTGAGCGGACAGGACCACGAGGCTGAGCATGGACGTGGAGAAAGGGCGTCTTGGCTGGTTCATTGGTGTGGCATTGACAGGCTGGACAGCGAACCTGGAGCAGGAAAGGGCCCTCGGCCACAGAGGCCAGCAGGTTTTGATCCAGGTGGAAGGTGGCCCATCCGTCTGAGCTCATCTCTGATGGAGCCTCTGCCGCCTGGAGGAGCTCCTGCGCTGAGGTGAGAATGAACAGCTGGGCAGAGGAGTTGGCTGTGTCTCCTTCGTCTGCATAGAACCAGAAGTGGGCGGATGTGACCAGGGTGTCCTGGTTGTTCATGGAGGGCTGGAAGTAATATGTGAAGTGGCTGTTGGTGGTTTCTCCAGGAGCTGGAGATCTGGCACAGGACAAGTCTGCCAAAGTGAAATAAGAGAGCAGTTAGTAAAGTTCATTGCTTTTTTATTGGGCAATTTGGGGCTTCCTCAGAGTCCTGCTGATGTACAGCTCTACTGCGGGAGGCTGTGACATCACTGTGGGGAGTGGTTACAGGCGCAACAAAGCTCTTGTGACCACATTTTCAGCCTGGTGTTCAGTTACTCTGTACAGCTGCTGTAATCACATAAATCATCTACACAGTCTTAAAGTAAAGGCCCATTCTATTAATTGTACTGCAAGGCATGGGCTGACTATGAGATAATGGGCCCCTAGGCACAGATGTGCAGACGGCCCCACCACCCATAGAGGCAAGACGCACAGACTTTGCGGTGGTTTTGCCCCTTTTTTGTTGTTGTTTTGTGTCTCTTTGTAGTCATTTAAAGCCTCTGTGGTTGTGTTATGTCTTTCATAGTCATTTTGTGTCTCTTTGTGGTTGTTTTACATCTTTTTTGCTTATTTTGTGTCTCTTTGAGGTAATTTTGTGACATTTTTGGTCATTGTGAGTCTCTTTGTAGTCATTTTGTGTCCCATGATTATTCTTTATATTTTTTGGTGATTTTTTTTAGCCCTATTCGGACGGGATTAGTTTAACGTGGAAGGATTTTAGTCCCGTCCGAACGCGTCATGTCTGTAATCATTACGGAAAACGACTTTTACCTTCTGTAAAACGGTCCGGAGAAAATACCTTGGGTAATATTAATCCCGTGTGAACGCGATCCTCTGTAAAAATGTATGTAAATATTTCGTCACGTCCTGTTTACAACGTTTTTTGGGGGGAGACCAATCAAACGGTCGAGAAGAAAGCACTTTTCAGTGCCACAAGACTTCTCTCATCTTGTGTTAGGTCAGCCTAATATAAATCCATATTGCTAATTGTTGTGTACACACAACGTAAACGTGACACATACAGGAAGCAACGTAGCACGCACAAGCCGAAAGGGAGGTGACGCCAGGGCGCAAACGGAGTTACCACTCCCATCTCTGGTAGAATTACGGAGATTTCTTGTCCCGTGCAAATCAGATGTTTATATTACAGACATCCTGTGGTAAACTGACATTAGTCCACGTCCCTATGTAAAAATAATCCCGTCCGAATAGTACTTATGTGTCACTTTGTAGACATTTTAGGTCACTGTGAGGCAAATTTGAGTCTTTTTGGTCCATTTCTGTCTCTTTGTGGTAATTTAATGTCTCTTTGCCATTGTTTTGTGTCTTTCTTGGTCGTTTTGTGTCTCTTGTAGCCATTTTAAGTCTCTTTGTGGTTGTTTTGTTTCTTTTGGTCATTTTGTGTCTCTTTGTAGTTATTTTGTGTCTCTTCATTGTCATTGTGTGTCTCTTTGTCATTGTTTCGAGTCTTTTTCAGCCATAATATGTCTCTTTGTAGCCGTTTTATGTCTCTGTGGTTGTTTTGTTTTGTGTGTTTTTAGTTATTTTGTGTCTCTTCGCTGCTTTGTGTCTTTTTATAGTCTGTCTTTTTATATTATGTCTCTTTGAGGTGTCACTATAGTAATTTTGTGTGTCTTTGTGTGTTTTTTGGTGGTTTTATGTATCTTTGTAATCATTTTGTCTCTTTGCCATTGTTTTGCATCTTTTTTTTTTTTAGTATTTTTTATCTTCGTCTAATCTTCATGTTGTGTGTTTGTGGTCATTTTGTGTCTCTTTTCCAATGTTTTGTGTCTCTTTTTTTGGTCTTTTTGTGTCTCTTTGGTGTCATTTTGCGGCTTTTTTGGTCGTAATATTTATCTTTGTCATTTTGTGTCTCTAGTTGTTTTTTTGTGTGTCTTTTTTGGTTGTTTTGTATTTCTTTGATTTTGTGTCTTACTGTGTTCTTGTGTGCATATGTTCATTTTGTCTTTTTGGTCACTTTGAGGCTGTTTTGTCCATTTTTATAGTCACTTTGTGCAGTTCCTTTGCATTTTTTGTGGTCTTTTTATGTCTCTTTGTTGTCTTTTGAGTCTCTACCTTAAGTATTAATTGAGTGATAGTTTGCAGGCGGGGGCCAGGGGAGCCCTGACACTTTGGGCCATTGGGTCTGTTCCTTGTAGGCGCATTCAGTAAACCATCCATGCTCCAAGGACACCTGCTTACACACAAATTTATTTGCAAAGGCTCCATATCATAAACTAATACAAAGTGCAGATAACTGAGTATATTTCTTTTACATCTTCAGCGTGGATATCGTGAGTTTACTGCAATATAGATGGCAGTTAAGCCCAGGCAGTGTACTTTTAAACAAGAAACACAAATATTAAATTAAAACCTTTTTGGAAGCACTCTGCTGCACTTTCATTTTAGTCTTATGCTCAAGCACCCTATTAAACCTGAAGACTAAGTATTTCAAATTTACTGTCACATGATCGGGGCAGTTTTGTAATGCAGTTGCAAGAAAATATGATAAAACTGTGCTATGCTTGAATGGAATTATACATTATATTATTTTTGCTCACTGAAAGTCTGTATAATTTCAGTCCTTAAAATATCAGATTTTCCACAAGAAAGCAAAAATAATTCCTTCTATAGGACAAAAACACACTGGATTGAAGGATCCAAAATAAAGGTATACTGTTTTGGAGTGAAAGTGCGCACATTTAAGAGTTTTTGAGTTGTTATTCGGGTAGGAAAAAAAAGAAAATTAAAAAAAAAGCCTCTCACCAGAACTGGGGAAGAGAATAATTTGAGATCTTTCCTGGGTCAGACTGGTTTGAGGGTTAACCCACGCTGTCCTGCTTGTCCTGGGGGCCCTCCGAGGTGTGCGCCTCGCTTCTGGATGTGCCATGTTCCCATCAGGTCCCTGCACTGTGGTTAGAGGCTCCTCCAGCTCGAGGCCCTCCAGCACCCGCTCTCTGAACCAGGACAACACCGCTTCCCGGGAGAGCTCCTCTCCCCTGCAGGCTTGTGTCAGAATATGGATCCACAGAGGGCCCAGGATGAAGACGGCACAAGACACCATGACTGTACTGAATGACAACCGCTTGACACTGCCGGGCTTTGTTTGGCTCTGCAGCTATCTGGGTCTCAGTGAAGTCTGCAAGCAAATGCATTTTGTTGCCAACACATAAATGGAAGATAGCAAAGAATGGCCTTGGCTGTTTCACACAGAATCAAGGGACTGTCTTTGCACTTTCTTCTTTTGTGTCTGCAGTTGCTTTCTGTCGGCACAGTCGACTTAAAGCTTGAAAAAAATATATTTCACACCAATACAAAAACATCTTTATATGTTTGTTTTAGCTGTGAGTGTTTATTATGCACACTTTGACTCCATCATAGCGGCCGTATCTAACACACACCTGTTTTCCCACCAAACAAAAAGTCTTTGTCTACTGTAAGGAAAACCTGTGTGTGCCGTCTTTATCTGACTGGCCTTGAATCCTTGTATCTGTCTCAGAGAAATATTTTTTAATAATGCGTGTTTCTGCACAAGGACAATTTATCAGCTATGTCAGACCAACCAGTTGTCTTCAGAGTAATGTCCACTTACTCACTTTTTCCAGAGCTTAAAACTGTGTTTAATTGTTTTTATCAGAAGATGGAGTTTGCACAGTTGTCATGGAGAAAAAATGACTCATAAACTGAGCATCCTCTGATGAAGATATACAGCCTGTTAAAGGATAACTTCGGTATTTTTCAACCTGGGCCCTATTTCCCCATGTGTATGTGTGTGTATGATACTGTAGGTACAACTCGTTTTAAAATTGGTTAAGTATTGAGGGAGGCGGATGCAGCCGGCAGCCGCGAGGTAGATATGGGGGCAAATGCGTCCCGTATAAGTTTGCGCATTAAAAGTGCTTTTTTTCGCCACTGACCGGTTCAGATCGCCAGTGCTGAAGGTAGCTGAAGGAAACACACAAATGTTCTCAATGTCAATGTTTCATCATACCTTTATTGCTCACTTTATTTTGATAGCTGTCACTGAATGTTACCACAGTATTTAAATTTTGATGACTTTCCAGATGCGAGACTTTATATCCACGAAGCATCCTGTACTGGTTTAGCTGCTGTCAGACGGAAATAGCAACTTCAAGCAGGTCTGATCGAGTGCTTTCTGCCTCAGCAACAACAACCATTTACTGGTCCATCTACAAAACCCAAAACCAGTGAAGTTGGCACGTTGTGTAAACCGTAAATAAAAACAGAATACAATGATTTGCAAATCCTTTTCAACCTATATTCAATTGAATACACTGCAAAGACAAGTTACTTAATGTTCGAACAGGTAAACTTTGTAATTTTTTGCAAATATTAGCTCATTTGGAATTTGATGCCTGCAACATGTTTCAAAAAAGCTGGCACAAGTGGCAAAAAAGACTGAGAAAGTTGAGGAATGCTCATCAAACACTTATTTGGAACATCCCACAGGTGAACGGGCTAATTGGGAACAGGTGGGTGCCATGATTGGGTATAAAAGCAGCTTCCCTGAAATGCTCAGTCATTCACAAACAAGGATGGGGCGAGGGTCACCACTTAGTGAACAAATGCGTGAGCTGATTGTCGAACAGTTTAAGAACAACATTCCTCAACGAGCTATTGCAAGAAATTTAGGGATTTCATCATCTACGGTCCGTAATATCGTCAAAAGGTTCAGAGAATCTGGAGAAATCACTGCACGTAAGCGACAAGGCCGAAAACCAACATTGAATGCCCGTGACCTTCGATCCCTCAGGCGGTACTGCATCAAAAACCGACATCAGTGTGTAAAGGACATCACCACATGGGCTCAGGAACACTTCAGAAAACCACTGTCAGTAACTACAGTTCGTCGCTACATCTGCAAGTGCAAGTTAAAACTCTACAATGCAAAGCGAAAGCCATTCATCAACAGCACCCAGAAACGCCGCCGGCTTCGCTGGGCCCGAGCTCATCTAAGATGGACTGATGCAAAGTGGAAAAGTGTTCTGTGGTCTGACGAGTCCACATTTCAAATTGTTTTTGGAAACTGTGGACGTCGTGTCCTCCGGACCAAAGAGGAAAAGAACCATCCGGACTGTTATAGGCGCAAAGTTCAAAAGCCAGCATCTGTGATGGTATGGGGGTGTATTAGTGCCCAAGGCATGGGCAACTTACACATATGTGAAGGCACCATTAATGCTGAAAGGTACATACAGGTTTTGGAGCAACATATGTTGCCATCCAAGCAACGTCTTTTTCATGGACGCCCCTGCTTATTTCAGCAAGACAATGCCAAGCCACATTCTGCACGTGTTACAACAGCATGGCTCCATAGTAAAAGAGTGCGGGTACTAGACTGGCCTGCCTGTAGTCCAGACCTGTCTCCCATTGAAAATGTGTGGCGCATTATGAAGCGTAAAATACGACAACGGAGACCCCGGACTGTTGAACAACTTAAGCTGTACATCAAGCAAGAATGGGAAAGAGTTCCACCTGAAAAGCTTCAAAAATTGGTCTCCTCAGTTCCCAAACGTTTACTGAGTGTCGTTAAAAGGAAAGGCGATGTAACACAGTGGTAAAAAGGCCCCTGTGCCAACTTTTTTGCAATGTGTTGCTGCCTTTAAATTCTAAGTTAATGATTATTTGCAAAAAAAAAATAAAGTTTCTCAGTTTGAACATTAAACATCTTGTCTTTGCAGTGTATTCAATTGAATATAAGTTGAAAAGGATTTGCAAATCATTGTATTCTGTTTTTATCTACGATTTACATAACGTGCCAACTTCACTGGTTTTGGGTTTTGTATGTCCCAAACCTCACGTCATGAGCTCTGGGTAATGACTGAAAGAACGAGGTCGCAGACGAGCAACCAAATTGAGTTTTCTCCGTGAGGTGGCTGGGCTCCAGAGGGAGCTCGAAGTAGAGCCGCTGCTCAACGTACGTACGTGCTATTTACAGAGATAGCACTGGCGATCTGAACCGGTCAGTGCTGAAAAAAAGCGCTTTTAATGCGCAAACTTATACGGGACGCATTTGCCCCCATATCTACCTCGCGGCTGCCAGCTGCATCCGCCTCCCTCAATACTGAACAAATTTTAAAACGAGTTGTACCTATGAATCATACACACACATACACATGGGGAAATAGGGCCCAGGTTGAAAAATACCAAAGTTATCCTTTAACCTTCAAAGGCTGGTTTACATGGTCCACCATCATGATATTGTCTGGCTTGAGATCCGTGTGCACGAGTCCAAGGCTTCCCAGGAGTTGTAGAGTCGTGGCCATCTGAAAGTCATGAATGAATCATGCAATAAGGTCAATCACTGTATACAGGTCAGTTTTTATTTCTGAACACGGGCTTTGCCAGGCAGAGCCCTGTAAGATCTGCACTGAGTATCATTTCAGAGCAAATTAATTATTTACAGTTGGTGGAACAGAAATAGGCTGACCTTAAATCTTGGACACGTTGCTTTAGCCTCAGTTTTTAGCACTACATGTACGTAGCTGCCAAGTGCATATTTCAGATACCTTTTACAGGATTCTCATTTTAAAACTGATCGGCTTGAAACATTAAAAGGTCAGCCGGAAAACTCACTGTCACTGTTATCATTGTAAGCTGTATCTTGTGGGAATGGGAAACTTGACAGGTAGAGTAACAGTGACAGGGCTTGGTGAATTGTATTTTAATGTGTCCATCTCCTGTATGCAGTACATACCTGGTGTAGGATGGGGCGGATCTCTTTCACAGAGAAACAGTTGCGAGGTCTCTTATCCAAGAAATTCCGCGAACTTATGTCCAGCATTTCAAACTCAAGACAAATTTGCTCTCTGTCAGTAAAAGCGCCATAGTATCAAAGCAAATCATGTTGGTTATACTAAATTAATTGAGTTTGTCAGATTATTAAACCCTCATAGGATTGACTCGAAAATGCCAGAGTTGGAACTACTTCAAAAGATGCATGCAAATTGTTGCCTTAATTTTTAAAAGTTAAATCAGTGGATCCTTGTTTACAGTGTATAATAACACTATCACAACTTGTACTTGTGTGTGTATTTTACAATTTCCTGACACCATGAGTTTGGTTTTGCTTAAATTTAATGATAATTTGTTCGGAGTGACTATTTCTACCCCAGTATAAATAGCCTTAGCCTCTCAGCTGGGCTATTTTAACTCCTGTATGACGTGTGACAACAAACTTTGCGCGTAACGTTACAAAAAACCTAATTGACGCAGACCTCCTGTCTGTTTCTGTATACTGAAACCATTTTCTTCAGTGGAAACGAAGCTTTTATATACTCTTATTTCACAGATAAGAAACTATAAATTGTGAAGAGAGGAAAGCCTCCACTAAAATAGCATTTTAAGTCAACTGTGTGTGATTTATCCTTCAGGGATTTATCCAGGTTTCATATGAGAAGAGGAAATCTCCGCTCATCACTAGGCTAATTTATACAATGTAAAATGCCATAGGCTGGCGTTAGCATGTTATATTTGTTTGGAAAACGTGTTTAATACAAGACAGTTGTTTTGTCAGTGAACTTTGTGAGTTGTAATGGAGCAAAACTGTGTGCCATTACCTTTGTTTAATGTTGCTGTTGTCCCTGGTTTTATATGAGAAGAGGGAAAGAGCGCTAGTTGCTAGGCTAATCTATACAATGTAAAATGCCATAGGCTTGTGCTAATAATGTTAGCATGTTGTATTTATGGGGAAAATGTGTCCAGATAAAGACAAGTGTTTGTCTGTGAATGCTGCGAGTTATAGTGAAGCAGATTTGTGTACTTGTGTTTGAAACTGTTGCTATTAATCCATGTTTAATGTGTGTTGTGGGTGTGTTTTGAATCAACTAAACTTTAACGTTACAGCACTTCACAGAAACCTCCGCCGCCGACTAGTGTTTTGGAGGTGTAACTGCAGAGTGACACAGACACACCACCGCACAAGTATAAATGCTCACAATGGCATGGGCAACGTGCGTAGGGTCTACACACAACCATAAATTTGCTTAAAGAAAAGACACTTGGCATGGTTGCATTGTAATGGTAGATTCAGGACCGATAAAACCTAGGTTAGCTACATAGCTAACTATCCGTTAGCTATGTAGCTAACGTAAGTCCTGAGGGTTGAG